TTCTTATTTTCGAACGTTTGGCAAGTAAATTGTTGATCTATGAAGTGACTTCTCAATCTCGAAGGGGCTCTTTTGCCATAGTAAAGAGATTTGCTCTATTCATGGCAAAAGAGCCCCTTCGAGATTGAGAAGTCACTTCATAGATCAACAATTTACTTGCCAAACGTTCGAAAATAAGAATAACTTCACATTCTTTGATCCTAGAAGATGCAATCCTTCTGTGAAAGTGCATAGCTGGTCATTTCTTCACTTATTCTACTTATAAGTTCTTATTTCTTCCGTTATGATGGTAGGCATGATGTTTTAACGCGTTTTGTCGAATCGCACCACACCCCGCTCCTCCGGGCCACACGGTCTGAAAACTAGAAACCTATTGTTCCTTTTCTTTCACCGGAATAAAATTTCAGAAGAAGAGGTCAGTCGTGCACGCTATGCTACGCTACATTATGATTTTTGGTGTGGCTTCGTGTTCTGAGAGAAGTAATGTGTTTTTCTCGAACCATCCCTAAGTGAAAGGAACCGAATGTCATAAGATTCCATGGGAACATGAATGAACAGTCAAGATGGAGATGCCATGTGAACCATCAGATGCCTCAGCACAGTTACTGTGACATCATTTTTTATGATAAACTTTATAGCTACCTCTGGATGAAAATTTTCGGGGATCACTGTCGGACTGCGACCCTGTGAAAGAAGGCGGCGATACTGGAAGTTCACAGGATTTACAGGTACGTTTTGTTCTAGAGAGGTTTCTGATTCGAATCGTATTTGGCGAGGGAGGAGGGGGGTCTTTTTTACAACGATAGCATCGACACTGAAACTGAGAGCGATTTTGGAGCTGACACTGGGTGGAATTTCACGAAACAACATGGACCTACTAATGCGATATCAATGTGCTCTGTTCCGATTGGGTTTTTAACTGTTTGTTGATAATACTCTTCTGACGCAAATTGGGATCGAAACAAAGTGAAACGGGCCAGTTGATAATTCTAAGTTCTTTGACACTAGTGACAAGAAGTAGAAGAAGTTTATTGCACTGGGCGTTCAGGTGGAGCTTGCCAAGTTGCCCATACTAAAAGACTGTTGGAGTACACGTCCAGCATTAGAAAGTCATTCACTCCCTTGCATTCTCAAATTCATTTATGCCCAGGAGCCGATTCGAGCAGTTGCTGCGCTATTTTCTTTTCTGTGGCAATAGCGTACCATATGCCGACCGATTGTATAAATAAGGGGGTTTGTTGACGTATTCGATGTGAACCGCAAAAGGAATCCTAATCCCGGAAAAGAAGTAACCACGAGCAAGTTCCTAATCCCGTTCAGAGAACGTATTGGTTCTCACAGTGTGTCCAGGGAAGAACAGTCAAAAGTAGCAGGTCGTCAAGCTTGGAACGCGTGGGGACCTCACGTGCAGTTTGATTATCTTCGTGGTTACACGATCACACGTAATGGACCACTTGAGAAAAGTATCGCGCAACAGATATTTGTCAAAGACAACGAGAATCAGAAGAGCTGTACTGTCCGTGAAATAAATTTTGTGTCCTTGTACCGCCAAGTTGAAGAATTTGAGAGAACTCCTGATGATATCAAGTTTATGTGATGGTAAGATTGTTCATTGAATAAACCTATAGTTGCTGAAAACTACATCGATGTGCGAGATCGGATTTAAGGTTGCCCTTCATTTTTGCATCGCAACAGAGAAAAACGTCTACAGATTTTTCTACTTTGACACGAAAATAGTAGTCG